CTTACTTACGTTTTATCTTATGCTCACACATGCTGAGATCCATAAATCCAAATTCTCTTTCCTTTTTGAGAATTAGTGTCCTGGGTCACTATCATGGACCTCATATTCAGCAAAAATTACTCATTTAAATACCAGAAGCAAAACGATAACATTTAACCAGCATTTCACTCATTTGTGGATGTTTAGAAAGAGAACATGTATTGAGGATGGAAGTCTCCAGAACTTTTCCAGAGGTTTGTGAGGGTCTCAGTTTCCTGTGTGTGAAGCAGAGCCTCACTCTCGTGTCGCAGGAATTCTGAACACATTCAACAACTTTCTCCCAAAAAGAACTGTTACAAACTTGCCAATGAATTTTTAAATAAATGAATGTGACAAAAAGATTTGCAATTTGTTTCCATCAATGTGTCACAACGTGCCGGTGAGTGAGGCAGATACAAGGATCCCCATGCGGGTGAGGGAAGCAGGCAGGCAGACAAACTGGAACGAGTAACAGTCTTTAATGAGGAGAGCACGCAGGACAATGAAACAATGAACCAACCATAAAAAATTGACTAACAGGGTTTAGAGGCAGGTGGGAGCAATTAACATGGACACTGGACTGAACAGAATGGGGAGACAGGACAGGGTGTGACAGTACCCCCCCCCCCCCCCCCCCCCCCCAAAAGGGCGGATTCCAGATGCCCACAGGAACATAGAGCAGGGCGAGAGGAGGGGGACCCGGAGGGAGGGCCGAGAGGGACCGAGGGACCAACGGAGAGGAGGCAGTGACCAGTAGAGTCCGGGGGCCTGCGCCTGGGGCAGAGGAGGCGGCGACTACGGGCTCTTGGGGCCCTGCATCTGTGGCAGAGGAGGAGGCGACTATGGGCTCTTGGGGCCCTGCGTCTGTGGCAGAGGAGGAGGCGACTACGGGCTCTTGGGGGCCTGCGTCTGTGGCAGAGGAGGAGGCGACGACGGGCTCTTGGGGGCCTGCATCTGTGGCAGAGGAGGAGGCGATGATGGGCTCTTGGAGGCCCGCGCCTGGTGAGGGCAGGACTGGCGGTGACCGGAGGCAGAGACGCCGGAGGACACGTCTTTGACTTCTGGACCACGGGACTGGAGACGGCGTCGACCACGGGACTGGAGATGGCGTCGACCACGGGACTGGAGACGGCGTCGACCACGGGACTGGAGATGGGGTTGGAGACGGCGTCGACCACGGAACTGGAGATGGCGTCGACCACTGGAATGGAGATGGCGTCAACAACGGGACTGGAGACAGCATCGACCACGGGACTGGAGATGGCGTTGGCCATGGGACTGGAGACGGCATCGACCATGGGACTGGAGATGGCGTCGACCACTGGACTGGAGACGGCGTCGACCACGGGACTGGAGACGGCGGAGACGTTGGACTGGAGGGGACGTCGACCTCTGGACTGGAGGGGATGTCGACCTCTGGACTGGAGGGAACATCGACCTCTGGACTGGAGGGAACGTTGACCTCTGGACGCGGGGGAGCGTCGACCTCTGGACGCGGGGGAGCGTCGACCTCTGGACACGAGGGAGCATCGACCTCTGGACACAAGGGAGGATCGACCTCTGGACACGAGGGAGCGTCGACCTCTGGACACGAGGGAGAGTCGACCTCTGGGCACGAAGGAGCGTCGACCTCTGGACACGAAGGAGCATCAACCCCTGGACACGAAGGAGCGTCGACCGCTGAACACGAAGGAGCGTCGACCACTGGACACGAAGGAACGTCGACCTCTGGACTGGAAAGAGCGTCGACCTCTGAACTGGAGAGAGCGTCGACCTCTGGACTGGAAAGAGCATCGACCACAGGAATGGAAGGGGCGTCGACCACAGGACTGGAAGGGGCGTCGACTTCAGGACTGGGGGTGTCCACCTCCATCGACTTCTGGTCCGGAGGTGTCGACTTCTGGTCCGGGGGCGTCGATTTCTGGTCCGTCGACTTCTGGACCGTCGACTTCTCGGAGACCGGCGAGCTCTGCTGGGTGGACTGCGGACTCGATCCATTGGCCAAGAGATGAGGGAGCTGCAGACTGGACCGGAACCTTCTCCTGGTGATTCTGGGAGGATAGGGTGTCCAGCTGGAACTCCTGGAGGCTGACGAGCTGACGGATCCGGCCAAGCTCTGCCTGGAGGCCGGCGAGCTCCGTCAGCTGGGCTGTAGGCGTGGTCCCTCCGCCTGCAGATGACGAGGTGCTGATTTTACCAGAGACGGGACTGCTGGTCTGACTGGGGGCGGGTCCAAGCAGGCGCAGGGCGAGCCGGAGCTGCGGCGAGCTCTCGGCTCCGTCCCGGTACCAGGGGTGACGGTGGAGCCCGGCATACTTCCCGTGGGCCAGCTCCGGGGGAGCACACAGCCAGTCTGGTGCCCACATAGCAGGAGCGGTCTAGCTGCGTCTCCTAGTCCAACCTCACATCTAGCTCCGGGAGGGCGGAGGCGCCGGGGTTCGGCGACGGCATCCGTGGTGAGACGAGACCAGAGGAGGAGAAGCCGGCCGGTGATCTGCGGTTAAAAACTGGAGCAAACACTCCCAAGGAAGAACCTCCCCGCTGGATCCTTTACTGGGTTGGTTCATTCTGTCACAACGTGCCGGTGAGTGAGGCAGATACAAGGATCCACATGCGGGTGAGGGAAGCAGGCAGGCAGAAAAACTGGAACGAGTAACAGTCTTTAATGAGGAGAGCACACAGGACAATGAAACAATGAACCAACCAGACAAAATGGACTAACATGGTTTAAATACAGGAGGAGCTGGGACCTTGGGTGATTGCGAGACGAGAGGCAGGTGGGAGCAATTAACATGGACACAGGACTGAACAGAATGGGGAGACAGGACAAGGTGTGACACGATGTCTGGGCTGCCCTGTACACTAGTTAGAGGGAGCTAAAGGAGGCTTCAAAACCAGGGGCTGATAGCGACCTGGCTTTGTTGCTACTGGACTTGTCCAACAGAGTGGATCTTTGTAATTTGTGGCTTATTTAGTAAAACTTGGCTCATGTTAGTGTTAGCTCGTTAGTGTTAAGCCAGCAGGAAGCCTGTGTGATAAGCTAGCTGTAGATCACTAGCATGTGATAGAACAGCCAGAAGATTTATTACCTGTTTTCTGCCTCATTTATCACCTGATCTTGTTGTATTTACTTAGTTTCGTGGCACCAGATCACCTTCTGTGATTTCAAATGCAAGTCCACCCTGCCAAGGTTGCATGGACGTGCAGATCACGTCGGTCCAGACCACCTCTGTAGGACGTCCAAATTAGGTCTTTGCAGCTTGACAACATCTTCCTTTGTTTGGACTTTTTTCACTTCACTCTAATTTACTGTTTGTACTCAACACCGCGTTTACTAAAAATAGAGTTATTAGTTTTGCATCAGGAATAAAATCTCATGATAATGAAGTACATAAAAAATACATAAAACATCCAGATGAAAGATTCAACAGTGTTGTAATGGGCCAAAACATTATGAACACTGAGAAGTGATGAATATTTACCCCTCATCTCCCTTAATGATCACGCCATGAAGCGTTTACAAAGTTTTACTTTCAACTCCAAATATTTTAACTGTACCTTTAATGAATTGTGTTTGTTCATATCTGCTCATTGCTGCTTTCCATTCGTTTCCTCATAATTTACCAGAACATGTTTTTCTGTGATGTTTTCCACCTGCTGAACTGTGAGTCTTATTTATAACACTGTGAACTTTCTTCCTCCTTTCTTGTTTGCTGACTCATGAGACAGATCCCCCCCCCCCCCCCCCCCCCCACTGCCATCAATAGTCGAGATGAATCATTCCTCACATTTACACGAGTTTCTTTGGCGTTCTGATTACACTTCATGTATCTGAAAGTCAAGTTTAATGAAGTGGTCATAACAAATGAGTCATGATCTCCCCCGGAATGTTGAGTCAGGCAACGAGGAAAACAAATGCAGGACGCGGACGTCGATGACATTTCTTAAGCTGTTTGGAGAGGAAATTTGTCTTGGGATGGTTTTTGAATGTGTTTGAAATTCAAGTGACACAATAGAAAGGCCTGCTGACTCACACGGGAAAACTGAAAACTCACTAATGTTTTAGGACATTTTGGAAAATTTGCAAATGCTCCAGTTGCAACCCAGGAAAATACACTTCATCCCAAATTTCCCACACTGAGGATGATACTCATTTTGCTCCTGCTGGAAGACGACTCTGTCCATCAGTGGCAGTGTGTGTTTGAACAGCAGCTCCGCCTCCATTATATATACTTTCCTGCTAATTTGTTTCTGAACCTTTCTTGACTCCTTGTATGTTTTCTTCTCTCCTTATTTCTACTTTGCACTACTCTTCCCATGTATTCTCTCCATCACTTTATTCCACGGTCCTTATTTTCCTTTTCATTCCCCGGCGTATCATTTCTTCACCCTCCTTCTGCTTACTTACACTTCCTTCCCTCCATCAGCTTAAATCTTTCACTTTATGTTAGTTTCCTCCAATTACTCCAAATCTCTGCTCGACGTCTCCGTGGTAACATTCCCTGCCCTTGTGCTCATTAGTTATCCGGATGGAGTGTGTAACGTTTAGTTTCAGATTCTGCTCTGATTGACTGAGCTTGTGTCCGTGATAAGTGAACAGCCACCAGAGCTGCGGCAGCTCACGTCTTCGGAGCTAACTTGGTCATTATAAGTTTACTTTCTCTCCTGTGTTATCGCAGAAACTCGTCATACTCAGTTTGTTTTGTATGAAGTAAAAGAGGCTTGTGGTTATAATAAGCTGAGCTGTCAGAAAACCCAGAGTGTTGCAGGTTTCTAGAAGAATATGTGGAAGTTTAACACTTGTTCAGAAGGTTTACTTCAATGAAAATGGCTGTTTTTATTTGGCAAGTGCTTTTTGTCTAATACACATATTTACACTGATTAGTGACTCTCATTATGGATCAGTCATAAATACAAACCTCCAGTAAATCTGTTAGTTTGTTTCAGTTTAATAACATTTTTTTTCCTCCCATTCTCTCCAGAATTGAGTCCCAACCTTCTGGTTCTGGTAGATTCATCCGTAGTCTCAGACGTCTACCCCCCCAGCATGTCGCTGAAGGTTCAGACCAGCAATGTGACAAACAAGACTGACCCCAAGTCCATCAACTCCCGGGTTTTTATTGGCAACCTGAACACAGCTGTGGTAAAGAAGTCAGACGTCGAGAGCATATTCTCTAATTATGGCCGAGTTCTGGGTTGCTCCGTGCACAAAGGCTACGCGTTCGTCCAGTACGCCAGCGAAAGGCATGCTCGGGGGGCTGTGGTCGGGGAGAACGGAAGGGTTCTCGCAGGACAGACACTGGGTGAGTGAACGTTGTTTTTCAAGAGTTACATCCTTTTATTTACTTCTACTGAAACTAAATAGATGAAGCGTTACTAGAAGAAGGGCTCTACAAAAAACCAATGGAGTAGAGGGAGGTGGAGTGTACAGTCGGTAAAGACAACTCTCCCTTGCCCTGCCTCCAACATGCATCCATCTAAAAGGCTAGGTTATCCAGAGTTATCTCTGTAGTTATGCTGCTATAGGCTAGACTGCTGGAGGACACACTGACCACTTTCCACACTCTACTACTTTCTTCTACAATTTGCTCTTTAACTGTATTATTTCCTGCTATTTCAGCTGTTAACTTTATTTTTTTCTCTGTAAGTGTTTTTCTTCCCAGAAGAAGCTACAATGATGTTCTGCTGAGCTGTGGTGGCCTCATGGAGGGGGCCATCATCTTGAACACTGTTGCTAACCACTTAATCATTCTCCCTCTCCTGATAATAACTTTTTACTCTCTTTGACATTCAATGTGCTACCACTAGTTTACCCGTTTAATTATAGATTCACTAGGATAAAAACAATAAAGTTTATCTCTCACCAAATAGAATATTTACTAATAAATCACAGTGTAACCATAGAAACATTACTTGGTGTGTGTGTGTCAGGGGGGGCAAACTCATTCAAATTACACTTCATCTTATTTTCCGGTGGACACCTTGAGTATGTGTGTGGGCTACATGCTGCTTTGTGTTTGTGTGTTTCCTTATTGTATGAAGTGTGTGTGTGTGTGTGTGTGTGTGTGTGTGTGTGTGTGTGCATGCGTGCGTGCATGTGTGTGTGTGTGTGTGTGTGCGTGTGCTCTGTCTTCTCGATCCCCAGTGAGTCGTGGTGGATGGCTGCTTATACTGAGCCAGGATCCTCTGGAGGTTTCTTCCTGTTAAAAGGGAGTTTTCCTCTCCACTGTCGCTGCATGCTTGCTTAGTATGAGGATTGCTGTAAAGACACTGACACTAGTCAGTGATTCGATGCAACCTGCTGGGTTCCTTATATAGGAAACTTTTTTTCTGATTGGCTTAATGAACTGACCTGTATTGGAATGTTTATTATGTGAAGGTCCTTGAGACGACTCTTGTCATGATTTGGTGCTATATAAATAAACTCCAATTGATTTGAATTGAAATATTACAACATTTTAAATGATGATACTGAATCGATTTTTAAAAAGAGTATTGATTTATTATTTACAATTTACATGTAAACATTTACTGTATTTCTTTTGAGTGGTGCAATTCAAACTCTGACAAATAGGTGGCAGCAGATCTCACAGTAACACTGGATGTGTCTTTGAAGCATCTGGTTTGAGTTTTCCAAATGAATTTAGTCTTAAAAATGGCAAATATCATCTGGTTTTTCGTATTTCATTTAATCAAATATTCTCTTCTGTATTGTGATTGATATCATATTGCCAGATTCTTGCTAATACATATCTTAAAGTGAGACTAGGCAATTTAGGCTTGCTTTTAGCACCCCCTAGTGTCCATGTAGTAGAACCAAAAGTAAAACCTATCTCCTCGATGTGTGTCTAACAGCTGAAATGTCTCCCCAGCCTTCATTAGTTCCTACAGGAGTGATTTATCACTACATTAAACAAATCAGCTGTGTTCATGATCTAAAACATGTAGGAAATGTGTTGGAAGCAGACTGCAGCAGCAGGTATGTCAGCTCAACCGTCAACAGACCAGAACAGCAACTCTGAAGTTGCAAGTGGAATAATCTGGCCACAGGGGCGATCTAGGGTTGGGTGGATTTTCATTAACACTGTAAAGAGTCATCTTAGCACATACTGGCTCACGAAAATTATTTTAAAATGTGGAAAAGTTGCACAGTGTCTCTTTAACTCATTCGCTGCCAACCGTTTCCTGATCGGTAAAGCCCTTCGCTGCCAGTGTTTCTCACCGTTTTTACTGTTTTTTTAAGAGTCACAGAACGTTGCGCGCTAGGATGATGTCGACGCCAAAACAACCAAAACAAAGCAGAGACTCACCTCTTACATCAGGAAGAATCGGAGTGTTTCAAGCGTTATCGGTTCTTTCATAATCCGTTGTTGAATGGTGATCAGCAGAAGCTTTTCCGGTTCGCACCTCACTTTTTTTACAGCAGCGGCCCTAAACGATCTCCTAACACATGGATTTTCTGCTTTCTGATCATGTGACATGAGACGTATGCGGATGAAGATCGGCTTAAGAGCTGTTTGTTCTCACAGTGCTGGGGCTCGTTCCGATGCCCACACAGTAAAAAATGCAAATGACGATTTTAGTCGTTATTGGCAGTGAACGGCAGTTCACAGAAACCAGAAAAGTGGATTTAACGGTTTGATATGGCCCACCCCTAGTTAACAGGGTTTGATTGTCATTGTTAACGCTCTCTTGCTTTTCCATGACAATCCCAAGGCATTCCCAGACCTAAGAGGATGTAATTCCCAGTGGCACATGCTGAAAACCTTAAGCGGGAGATGAATAGAGCTCCGGACATCACGTGACTCTCAGAGAGTAGACGCCATGTTGGCAGGCACGAAAGGTAAACAAAATGAATGGGATCGGCTTGAATTTTACGCCGTCGGAGTTTACTTCACACTTTAAAACCGAAGAAATTGTTTTATTTAGTCAGAAGTTAAATAGACTAAACATCTCCGACCCATACTATGCTCCTGGGGTACATTTTAAAAATGCCAGAAACTGTCGGAGCGGACCTGGCCAGGGAACGCCTTGGAATTTCCCCGGAGGAGCTGGCCTAAGTGGCTGGGGAGAGGGAAGTCTGGGCCTCTCGACTTAGGCTACTGCCCCCGCGACCCGACTCCGGGTAAGCGGATGAAAATGGATGGATGGATGGTCAAATAACATAGATTTACATGTAAGTAGTTTAAATAGAGTGCTGTGCTCAGGTGTGCAGATAGGGTGGGGGATGGGGGGATCTGTCCCCCCCAGATTCAGATCGACCCCGATCCGTCCCCCGCACTAAGGCCAGAAAGAAAACAAAATCAGAGGTTAAGCGATTGAAGCTCCTTTTTCCAATTACAGTGAATGCAGCATGATATAAACAAACACCGACTCCAGAGGCGCCAAAGTGGTTGCTGCTAGGATGCAGGATGAAGCGAAAAAGGCAAGCAACGAGTACTGCATATTTAAAAAAGACCAACAATGAGTGCGTTTACATGCAGCCAATAACCCTTTTAAAACCCAAATATTCACAATAACCCGGTTCCGCAGGTCCATGTAAACACCGCCAAAAACCTGGATATGCTCATCACCGGGTTTTTAAAAACCCGGCTACTACACCTGGGGTAACCCTTTTCTAACCCGAATGTTTGGTCGTGTAAACGCATATCGGGATATCCCCATCAAAGCGTGTGTTCTGCGCACGCTCTGTTCACAAGGAATTTTGGTCTTTTGAGTAGCGAGACGTCTTGTATGCGCCAGAACACCGGAAGTAAACAAGTTGGGAGCAACATGGCGAGTCGCGGCACAGCACCACACTTTTGGAGTGACGAGGAAACTAAAGCGCAAACAAACGCGGTCGCTATCTCTTCCGAACTGGGAAACATGTTGTTTTCACGGATACCGGATCGAGAAGAACCGGAAATGACGCATATTGCGTCTGGACGTAGTCCATACGTCCTGACGCTACCCCAACGTCCGCATTTACATCGGGTTATGCAAGTTAGAGGTAACTCTTTCTATTTATGCTTGTAAACGGGTTATTCTGATCAACTCAGAAACCCGAATACCGACCTTAACCTGATCATAACCCGAATATTGGCTGCATGTAAACGTAGTCAATGTAAGTAGGCGGGACCGATCTGTTTGTTTATGCATGTTGGTTGTAGTTTCAATACATTGTTGTCAGTGTTGGGTCTAAGGGGCTCAACACATGGGAGGCGACAAACGACCGCAATCAGTGAAATTCGTCGCTGTCGGTTTTATTACCTGACACGCGGGAAGCGACCCACGGCAGCGGCCAATGGCAAAGCCCTCTACGAGTTCTGTTCCATGGCGAAATAGAAACTTCCGTTGTTTTGTTTGGCTGTGTCAGGTTGAAGGGAATTAAGGTTATTTAAGCGGTTCAGAGTTAAAAAAAAGTGGTAGATATGATGTTTCACAAGGTGCTGCTAGAGTTATGTGAAATCTTACTTCTGATTTTACTTTATAAAACATAATAATAATCAACTTCTCTTCCATGTTTGCTCAGAGATGTACGGAGCATCCTGTCTGCTCATTGGTCAGTGAATGAAACCTCCATTGATTGGTCCTTGTCTGAGCGACAGCGATGAAAAGTTGAAAATATTTCAACTTTCTGGGATCGCGTCGCTGGGTCGCCTGTGCACGACATGTGCACGAGTGCAAAATTTCACATGCACGTTTTTCGCATTTCGCTTGGTAGGAGGGAGACCCGCGATTATCGCTTTGGCGCGCATGTCTCATTGAAAATGAATGGAGTAGAGGCGATGTCGCCTCCCGTGTGTCGAGCCCATTACTCGTTATAAGCGCCAAAGCCTCATTGCTGACTTTAACAAGTCTCATCTCCAAATATGATCCCTCATGAAGTTACTACTTTACACCAGAAGATAGTGGAGATCTGTAACCTTCAGGCTGAGCAAAGTTTTCAAGTTTTTAGAGTTTGAAAAATGCCTCCCGCTGAGAGGCTCCCAGTCGGGGAGAGGAGGAGATGTGTGCAACATGATAAAATGTATATTAGATAAAACGCATAATTGCCGGCAGGTCTGGTCTTTGTTGACTGATCACTTTGTCTGGTAATGACTGACTCTGATTATGAAGCAGATTATTGACTCTGATGAAGAAATTCACTCATCCAGCCGGGAAGATTGATGCTGCTGCAGCATCAGACAGCTGGTGCTGCACGAGAGGTGTGTGGCGTTTTCAAGCTCCAAACGTTGGGTTTGTTGTTGGTTTAACCTTCTTTGGGACATGATGGATGTAGGAATGATGGTAAAAACACCGCTAACATGACAGACGTAGCGAC